GAGGAGTTAGGAAAGGAGGAAGGTCTGGGAGAGAGCTGAGGGCAAGCTGGTGGGAAGTTGAGGTTTCCCCAGCTCTGTGCTCCCCTCACCCTTCCCACCCTGTTCAGCTTTCAGCTGCCTGAACACCCGGGCCAAGCCTCCTAGGAATCTCCTGTCCTGGTGGCAACAGTGAGGGGGCGAGAGGGTACCTGGAGTCTGAGGCCCGCCCCCAGCCCGTGGTAACATACTTGACAAGACATCTCAGGGAGAAGGAGCAGGAGATGGGGCCTCCGCCCAGCACCCCTCCTGCCCAGCCTGCACACTCACCATGCAGCCCCCTGCCCTGTGTTCTTTGTCTTTCTTGTGTCTCCATCTCTCAGCCACCCTCAGTCTTCTTTCCTGCCTTGGCCTGGGTCTCTGTGACTCCATGGGTGGGGCCTTTCCTGGTGCTTTTCTTTCTGGATCTTCTTTTTCTTTCCTGGCCTCTTTCTAACCAAGATCTCCTCTTCCCTTCTCTCTTCTTCTCCAGTCTCATTCCTTTCCTTCTCTCTGCCTCTGTCTTTGTCTCTATTTCTCAGCACCCTTTGCACCTCTCACCAGGTCTGTGTGAGTGTGGTCCTCCTGCACCTGTGTGCAGAGGGTCACAATGACTGCCCGGAGCTCACCACATCTGTGATGGTGTCTGAAGACAGGGAGGGAGGGAGCAGGATCAAAGCAGGAAGGAATTCATTTTAAAACACATGATTCGCCCTTGCCTTACACTGACGCTGCCAGGCAGGCAAGGACAGTGGTTATTTGATGCTGCCGCTAAGGGAGGCCGGTCTTGCTTTCCTGTTCTCTGTGGGCAGGCCCTTCCTGAATCCCCTCCCACCTGGCTCCCTGGCCCCACATCCCCATCCTGCAGCCAGCAATTTCTCTGCATTTCTGTTTAATGCTGGCTTTATTTCCCGGAAGTGGGCTGATGGGACAGAAACTTTGCCCCCAGTTCCGCTCTGTGTCATGCATGGTGAAAGGCCAGGCCAACAGGACCTCAGAGTTGTGTGTACCCTTCAACTGATGCTGGTTCTTGGTGCCATCTTGACACGCAGAGACACACCCAGCCCTCCTCCTAATGCTACCAGGACACCTCTGCCCTTACAGTTGTGTCCTGTCTGATACCTGTGTGCCTCATTGCTCACTTTTTAGGCTTTTTCCTCAGCAATCCCCATATCTCCTCATTACCCACCTCCATCATTGCATTGGAATCTTCCAGAGTTCTGTTCCCTCCACCTGGCCTAGCTCTACTCTTTCAAGGAGCCTCCCAGGACTGTCTTCAAGCCATGCCTCAGCACTGTCCCTCCTCTCATTGCAGGGAGAACCCTGTCTTGTCCCTCCACTCTCCTGCCCTGTCTCTGCTTTTGCTGGAGTCTGTGAGCCCGACCTGAGGTGGGGGGTGCTCTGCCTCCTTTCCACAAGGCAGAACTGTTTACTCAGGCATTTGCTCACTCTCACTCCATCAATCAACAGACTTACTCAGAACACCTGCTGTGTGCCTGGCAGCCAGGCCTCTGTGCTAGGGGATGGGGCTGGAGCTCTGAGTGACACAGTCCAGATGTGAGGAGTGCACCCTCCTCCCTCCAGCAGGGATGGGGGTGGGCAGTGCAGTGTGGACCTTCTATAGCAGAGTGAGAAGTGAGTGCAAAGGCCTCTGAAGGCAGTCAAGCCAGTCATGGAAGACTTCACCGAGGAGATAACTATTTGAATCCCAAGGGGGAAGGAGGGAGCAGTGTCCCACAAGGGAAAGGCCTGTGCAAGGGCATGAAGGGGTGACAAAAGCCGGGAGTGTACAGAGTAGAGAGAATGGGACTTGGTGATGGCAGGCTTGGGGCTTTCTCCTAATCATGAGCCAAGTCGAGACAACCCGGGGGCATCTGGACTCTGTCTCAGACACTGTCTTGGCTGCAAGGGCTGTTTCGGGGCCAGGAAACGTCACCTGCGACATTTGCAGGCTCAGGATCTAGACTGCCTTTCCACTGAATTAAATTCCCTAAACCCTTCATTTCCCCTCCTCTCTGGACTCTCTTTAGGATCATGGCCTCCATCTCTCTGTCTCCAGACTGAGCTGCTTCAACCCAGGCCTAAGTCAAGAGGGTATTTTACTTCAGAATCCCCAGGATGACAGAGACCTTCTTTGTCATGTCACTGCTCAGGTTTCTGGCAGTCCCTCTACTGCCCAGGATAGATAAGGGTCATAGCTACCGTTTAGTGGGCACGTGTGAGGGAATGCACCAGGTATATCATGCGCCTCATCCCATTCCATTCTTCACAGCATTCCGGGAGGTGGATGTTCACATTCCCATTTACCATGAGGAAAATGAGGCTTAGAGAGTAACTGACAAGGTCATACTGTTAGGAAGCGGCAGAGACACTATGCGAACTCCTAAACCTGTGCTCTTAAAAGAGACTTTGCAGTCCTTAGTCCAGACTTGTCATTGTACAGGTGAGCAAACAGAGGCCACACCACTTCTCTCTCTGGCAATACCCCCAAATCTGACTCTGACCCCAAGGACTTCCCACCTTTGTCCTGCTGCAGGGTCAGCTGCCTCCTCATCCCAGTGGACAAGGAACCAGCTTCTCACTGTCCTCTGAAGACTTCAAAGGAGACTGGGGTGTCCAGGCCCCATACAGGAGAGCTGTAAATATAAATTCCTCTCTGAGCCAGGGCGCACAGGCCACCCCACTCCCAAGCCCTTGACTTGGGCTCTGGGGGCCGCGGGAAGGAGAAATGTGAGTGTGGAGAGTTTGCAGCATGAAGCTGCACTAGAGAAATGCGCAATGATATGAATAAATTTGAATAATAATGAGAGCAGTGCCTGAATTAATAATGTTGGCTGCTCACCTGACCCACCCCCTCCCCTGGAATTGTGGGTGAGCCTATCCTTTGCTTCTTTAGAAGACATAGATGGGATGTCAGGTCGGCAGAGTTGGAGAGCCGCTCACAGTGTGGGGGAGGGGCCCTGTTTCTAACTTCCTGATCTGCAGACTCGAAGAGCTAGATTTGCGCACTTAACCCAAAGAGGCTACCTCTTTGTATAAAATCATATGCTGGCCATCAATCCACTCCTGGCCAAGCTCCCTCTTCCTTGGTCCCCTTTATGTGTGGCATCCAATGTGGATGTCAAAAGTCGAGGGAGATTCAAAGGAAAGAGATAGCATGGCCCTTGGCCTTGAGCAGAAGTTCCAGACACCCAACCTACGAGCTGCCCTCTACCCCATGACAAATAAAAGCATGGACACAGACTCTCTTATAGCTTGGGACAGGAAATCCCATGGATAGAGCTGTGACAGCAGGGCTGAGTGGTGGGACAAGCTGTGTTTGCCCAAGGAGCTAAGGGACCAATCTAGGAAGACTTCCTGAAAGAGAAGAATATGGAGCAGGTTTGGAAAGACAGGGAGAAATGAAGCTGGAGTAGGAAGAAGAAGAAGGAAGGAGAGAAGACTAGGGTTCTGTCTCTGATAACTTAGAACGAGGACTTGGAATGGGGAAGAACAGGTTTGGTTTGCATCCTTACACACAGAATGATGGAGGATCGGAGAAATTTGGAAAGCTCAGTTTGGAAACTGTTGTATTTGGGGATTGTGGTCTCTATAAAGTCTTGGGAGTTGGAGAGGGAAAGAAGAGGAAGGAGCCCCCTAAGTTCTGGGAAAGGCTGATTTCGGTTACAGCGTGTTCAGGGGATGTGGGTAGGAGGCCCTAAACCTCTCTCTTTGCTATTCCGCAGCCCCTCCATCTCCTGCCCTCTTCCCCACAGCTGAGGCACTGCTCCTGGGGCTGTGCCCGGTGCCCACCACGAGGCGACCGGGATGCCTGGAGTGGGTGGGGGAGAGCAGTGAGGGAGAAGAAACCGCCATCCAATTCCCTGCTCCATTTAGGCTCCACAATTAAAGGCAATTACTCTGCAGTTCTCTAATCAAATGCTCCCGGCCGAGCTGCCAGCCGGGCAGCCATGTGTAGCTCCCACAGCCAGAGGGAACAGAGTCACGTGGCCTCCGCTGCCACAGTGCGGGAAGCCAAGTGTATTCAGGGTGTCCATGTGTGGGCACTCATGCCCCTAGTGTGTGGGATCCAGGGCTAAACACACGGAACAGGGTGAGTGTGCCATGAAGTAGGTTCAGAGCCACTTTGTTTTGGATACACAGCCACCCAGGCAGCCTACATACACACACATGGACATGTCTGCTCCATAGAAGCTGCCTTATGCACTTGCTGGATGCATTCATGGGGAGCTCTACCTGGCATAGTTGCACATGTGTATTGCCTCACATTGCCTCGTGAGATACATGCCCAAGTAGAGGTATGGTGGTATGGTCATGTCTCGAGGACTGAGAGGGCCTGCCTCATCGCCAGCAGCATGTGTTATGGACTTCCTAGAAAGGAGGAATGTGCATTACATATACTTTGCTCCAGCCTCTCTCCTGCCCCCTGCCCAGGCAATGTCTGCTCAGAGGCCAAAAATTTATTTTAATATCAGCCTGAGCACTTCTTTATTTATTCATTCAACAAGACTTTATTAAGCACTGTGGAGCCAGTGTTGAAACAGACTGACGTGGGTGTGGGCGCGAGGGGTGGCGGTAAGGGATGAGCCCAGGACCTGGAGTGCCGAAGCTCAGCTCTGCCTGTAGCTTAGCTCTGCCTGTAGCTTACTGGCTGTCCTTGGGTAAGTGTCGCCCTCTGTAAAAGAAGAAGGTCTGACTGGCCCAAACTCTAAGGCCATTACATAACACTGTACCACTTTCTATGACTGCTGAGCACTTTGGCTCCTGAAACCACTCCCATGGGTCATGGAAAAGCCATGGAGGGAGAAAGGAATCAAGGGTGAGCACGTGACATCTTGGAGGGAAAGGGTTGGGACTGGAGGGTCTTTATCTCTCTCTCTCCAGCCTGATGCAAGGTGGGAGCAGGTGCCAGGGAAGGGTGGCTTCTTGGTGGAGCCCCTTTCTTCACGTTTCTCTTTATCCAATGTTGGCTTTGGCTTTGCCAGGGACGCAGACCCGCTTCAGCCAGGAGCCAGCCGACCAGACTGTGGTGGCCGGACAGCGGGCCGTGCTCCCCTGCGTGCTGCTCAACTACTCGGGGATCGTGCAATGGACCAAGGACGGGCTGGCACTGGGCATGGGTCAGGGACTCAAAGGTGAGTGGGGCCGCACAGCCAGCCCAGCATCCAGACTACCCCATCTTTGCACACACACCTCCCCCCACCCCCCCTAAATAGATTCCTTGACTCAGCATCTCTTAGTTGTGCATCTCAGCATATCTCTTTTCTGTGCTCCAGCCTCTCTTCTCCTGTGTGTGTGAGTCAGGCGCGCGCGCTCTCTCTCTCTCTCTCTCTCTCTCTCTCTCTCTCTCTCTCTCTCTCTCTTTCTCAGCTCCTGAGCTCTGTCTCCACTGCTTTCCAAACCCCGCAGCTCTGCCTTTCCTGCAACCTGTGACTTGCTCAAAAAAGGCAATGGGAAGCCTGAGAGATCAAAGGAAACCGAGAGATCTTTATGTAAAAGAGCTACAGACAGACAGACAAACAGATACCACGAGAATTGCTGTAGGTAGACAGAGGTAAAGCAGGAGGTGCAAAGCAGAGGATAGCAACTTCCATGTCCTGTAGTGTTTCATACTAGTCTGACTTTGCTCCAGCCTCTCTCCTGCCCCTGCTCAGGCAATGTCTGCTCAGAGGCCAAATCTCATTTAATATCAGCCTGAGCACTTTTTAATTTATTCATTCAACAAGGCTTTATTAAGCACTATGGAGCCAGTGCTAAAGCAAATACAAAAAGTCAGTAAAATAATAATAAACAAACCAACCAAAAAAACCAACCTCCTGTATTCCAAAGCTGGTAAAGATACTTTTGGAAAGGCCGCCTGGCAGAATGGATGCAGGGTCAGAAAACCTGGGGCTAGACCTGCTTCTGCCACCTACCAGCTAGGTAACCTTAGGAAAGCTACTGCATGTCTCTAGGCCTTAGTCTACCACTGTGTAGAATAGTAGAATAGTCACAGGCCGGCCTGCCTTGTAAGTGCATTTGTGAGTTTTGAACCAAATGAGAGAATATGCTTTGTGAAAACACATTGTTCACTGTAAAGCAGAGTGAGTATAAAAGTATAGGAGGGATTTATGTTTTTATTCTTATTGTTGAGATTATTTGTTGTGGAGTCCATGTATTAGGACAGGTGGGGGAAATTTGTCTGTATAGAGCAATGTGTGTAAAGGAAAGAGACGGATTTGGTGAACCTATTGATGATAGAAAGAGAAAGAGCCTGGGAGAGGGAAA